TGGAGGAGAGTACACCTCGGAATCATTTCGTCAAGTTTGTGTGGAAAAAGGAATCAAACACCAGCTTACCAATCCCCGCACCCCAGAGCAGAACGGCGTATCTGAGAGACTAAACAGAACACTATTAGAAAGTTCTCGCTCAATGCTCTACCATGCCAAATTACCACTCCATTTTTGGGCCGAAGCAATAAATACTGCTGTTTATTTACATAATCGTAGTGCAACAAGTACCCTGAAGAATGAAACGCCATTTGAAAGATGGTTCGGAAAGAAACCAGATGTTTCAAATTTAAAAGTATTCGGATGCGTGTGTTTCGTACATACACCAGATAGTCTACGAACCAAACTCGAACCCAAAGCTAAGAAAGCAATGTTTGTTGGATATCCTCAGAATACTAAGGGATACAAGTTGTATGTATTAGAGGCAGAGCGATTCATCAGAAGCAGAGATGTCCTATTCCATGAAAATAAGTTTCATTCTTTCCAAGACACCAGCTGCTCTAATAGCACCCATTTTTTCATCTGCAAAACAAGAGAAGATGAAGAGCCTGAAGCCAATTCAGAAAATCCTGGTACGCAAGATCCAGTAGAGAATATACCTTCAGTGGGAGATACCTTCGAAGAAAATTTTATGCGTCAGGTAAAAGACATTGGTCCTACCAGACAGAGAAGAGCCCCCGTTAGATTCCGTCCAGATGAATGTTTGCTGACCAATTCGTTGACGTCTGAAAATGATGAACCCCAATCTCTAAAAGAAGCAATGGCAAGTGCTAACAAAGAAAAGTGGAAACTCGCATTGGAAGCAGAATACAATTCTCTGTTGACGAATGAAACATGGGAATTGGTGCCGCCACCGAAAGATGGCAATATAGTTGGATCGAGATGGGTGATGAAGGTCAAGCGCGACGCCAATGGCAATATCGACCGATATAAGGCAAGACTCGTAGCACAAGGCTACTCCCAAACACATGGTATTGACTATGAAGAAGTCTTCTCACCTGTAGCAAGGTATTCCAGCATCAGGACATTGCTCGCTTTGGCAAATTTGCATGATTTAGAGATACACCAAATGGACGTAAAGACCGCTTTCTTAAACGGAGTAATTGATCATGACATCTACATGACTCAACCCGAAGGCTTTGCTGACGAAGAACACCCCAATTATGTCTGTAAACTCAAGAAAAGTTTGTATGGTTTAAAGCAGTCCGCACGTTGTTGGAACCAAACCCTCGATAGTTTCTTGGTTTCAAACGGATACAGAAAGAGTGGTGCAGACAGCTGCATATACACGAAGACTGAACGAAAGGAACATGGTCACATTAGTTTTGTGACACTGGCAATCTACGTTGATGACATAATCCTAGTTTCTAACGACATCGAAATGCTGAATGCTGAGAAGAAAAGGCTTTGCAAAGGATTCGAAATGGTGGATCAAGGAGAAATTCACTTTGTTCTCGGGATGTCAATAAGAAGGGATCGAATGACAAAGGAAATATTCATAAATCAGGAAAAATACTTGGAAAGTGTCCTGAATCGGTTTGGAATGGAAAATAGCAATCCAGTCCACACACCGATTGAAACTGGGAAGAAATTTCAAAAGAGATGCGATGGTGAGGAACAATCCGATCAGAGCGTTTACCAGCAGATGATTGTTTGTTTGACATACGTTTCCACGGCCACGAGGCCAGATATAGCTGCATCTATCGGAGTCCTGTCACAGTTTATATCAGATCCCAGCAAAACTCATTTTCAAGGAGTGAAGCGAGTTTTGAGGTACATAAAAGGGACAATGAGTTATGGTTTGAAATTCAGTTGTGATAAAAATGATGAATTACATGGGTACTCGGATGCTGATTACGCCGGTAATTTGGATGATCGTCGATCAACCTCAGGATATGTTTTTAAGTTAGCTAACTCAACGATTAGCTGGTCTAGCAAGAAACAAAGTACCGTCGCCAGATCGACAACAGAAGCTGAATACGTTGCCCTAAGCCAAGCTACCCAAGAGGTAATCTGGTTACGACGATTGTTGTCTGACTTGGGATCTAAACCAATGTCGCCCACTACTGTTCACGAAGACAATCAAGGTGCCATCGAAATCGCACGAAATCCAAAGTTCCATAACAGAACTAAACATATCGATGTTGCTTACCATTTTGTTCGCGAACGAATATTATCTAAAGAAGTAAAAGTTTGCTATTGTCCATCAAAGGATATGATAGCCGATATAATGACTAAAGGATTATCTAAAGATCAATTCCAAAAACTCAGAAATTTATTGAACGTTCAATCTTGTTAAAGAACACTGGAACAATATGTAACTATTAAGTGGGAGTGTTAGAATATAATAGTTACGTCATGTAATCACGTGTTCCGTAATCTATAACTTTCCTGTTCTTACTTTATATATGGCGCTCTTTCTACACGTGCCTGCTTTGTGTTAAGTTGATACTGTTAAATAAACCTTCTTTGTATAAAGCAAAGCTTTGGATTATTTTATCACAAACTTTGTCTTAATTTGTAATGGGTCATCGGGAGAAATGTACTTTAGAAACAAGAACTAGTTTTCATGCTGCATGGTATCTACAGATCCATCAATTTGGGTGGAAATTTTAATAGCTATATTTACTTTATTTTTCCGTTTCACTTTCTCGAGCTCTGTAATAATGGTAAGCATTTCTTTGTAAATGTTTGGATCTTTGCAGTGCAAATCTGCTGAGCTGGGTTCAATTAAATGGAATGAATGGACTCTGCAACCCATTTTCTTTCAGAGATGAAATAAGCTGGTCAGCATATGCTGTGGCAAGTGCTCTTCCAGGCCATGATCATGCTGATGAGGTTAGTAGTTTACTATCATTGTAAAGGTAAATTGCAAGTTTCATTAGGTTTTCTACTGTTGTCTGTTCGTGCCTTTTCAAAACTCTTATCAAGGGATGATTTAGGTCCTGACTATCCCACAATTCTTTGTACTTCTTTTGCATCCAAATATGCCTGATGTATTTCACTATGCAAATGATCGATGATGTTTTTGAGTTTGCCTTCCGAATCGCATCTTACTCCATGTGCTATGTACACAATTCCATGCCTTGATCTCTTTTTCGCTTGTTCTTCAAATTGCGAACAGATTTTGCATTTAACAAGCTGTTGTTTACGGGAGCCAATTTTCTCGCTATAAACTGCCTGTAGCTGATTCCTCACTTGCTTGAGATGGACAAGATTCACTCTGAACCTCTTCATTATCTTCACCTGTCAGTTTCTCATCGGCATCAACTGCAGTCACTGCTTTTGTATCCGTAGATTTAGGAACCACAAAAAATAGCTTGTCAACTTTTGGCACTTAATTTTGCTTTTATTACTTTTATCAGAAACATATTTTCTCTTCTCTCCATTTCGTATAGTCTCAATAATACGGCTTTCTATATTCATCTGTGTTGCCATTCTGTGTATGCACATTTCACCTACCAAAACTTTATTTTCCCTCTACTTCCCCCTACTATGATGTTCCTCGATTTCTCCTACTTTACCCTTACACAGCAACATACTCCCTATTATATACCTACCTCAAGTCAGACCATTGAATTTTTTAGTCTGTTTCAAAAAATGCATACAAAAAATGTTTATCGAAAACTGAGAACATCTAGATGACAACGTTAGAATTTGGCGTAGGAAGTAATGACATGCAGATTGCGCAAATGAGTTTATGCTAAGTTGCTGATCTTCTATTTTCATATATGGTCACAAATTGTGCCAAAAGAAAGATTTAGTTGCAATCACTTGCTAAATGGTGAGAGCACGGGAAGAAAAGAGTATTTTGGGCAAAAATAATTTTTTTTTTAAACGATTTTCTTTCCTCCCTACAATCCCCCTACAATTTACAGTTTTCCCTGTAGGTTTCCCTACCACCTACAAACTGCTAAATCCCCCAGTTGTAGGGGGCAGATTTTGGCGTTACTGCTTCGCACTTCGGGGGAGGATTGGGCGTTACGGGGGGGGGTCAATTGCCCAAGGTATATAGTTAAAAAAGGCACTGTTTGCTAGCGATTGGAAATCTCAGGTTCTGTGGCGTCGCATTCAGATTATAGAGGCCTGGGACGATGCAACATTTAAAGATGTGAGATTTAAACAGGGCTAGTAAAAACCTTTAAAAAATGTTTGATTGTATGTTCTCTTTCACGCAGGTTTTATAAGCTTTCTGTTACATGTGACAACAAGTGTATATAAGGCAATCTTATAGGCAACAATGCTTGAATATTGCTGTTTATTGTGCTTAATTTGCTATGGGACCGATTGCAGGAAGCAGCTATTTTTATTGCCCTTACTAAAGACCCATTATATTTTTTTTCCTGTTTTTCCAGGTTGCGACAAGTGAAATATTTAACCAATAGATTACATTTAACCGTTGTCTGTATCGTGTCAGATATATAGTATGACGTCATTGGTTACAAAAACAGAAAAGTTTCCACGAGCCTCCTCCCTCCTGAAGAGTGGTCAAATTCCAAAATTAAAAAAGAAAACATTTTGTTTTATTTTCCTCTATTACAAAATTGGCTCAAATACGCAATGTCGTAGATAGGATTGATAGTTGAGGGTTGGAATATTTATACATGTGTAAAATACGCAAAAAGCACGTGCTTTTATAAGACATTAATACGGCAGAACATGGTTGTAACTCCTCTAAATCTATTGTTACCCCCACCCTCCAATTATTGAGCTGGCTACGCCACTGTTAGCACGTCAACCGGAGATCGCTTTAACAAGATGTTTTTCAAGGTCTTCCTTTTGCCCACGCAGCGATCCAGTTCATGTAAATATTCCCAACTGTTAGACGGTTATTTAAAAACAAGAAATTTCTTTATTTGGCAGAATGAAACAACCACCACAAAACAGACGTCCACTTTATATCACCCAGTCACGAGATTTTTTATGGTAATAAGTAACCATCGCTGGTAACCAGTGGTAACAGTTACCCGCCATTGGCATTGGTTCAATAAGTTACGCGCCATTTTTTTTGCGTTTAACGTAAATAAGCGAATTAAGACAACGAACACACGAAGATATTTGTCGTAATATACCTTGGAATTTTTAACAAAATTTGTTAAAAAGTAGCATTCAAAGATGAACTTCAGAGCAGATGGTATGTTTTATGTATGAAATATGCCTTATATTCGTAACTGCGGGATTCTGTGTTCAATTCTTTGACTACGATGCATGTCGACGAACACATAACGGTTATATGATTTAAAGACACATTGCTTTCATCTATATTTATTCAATAATTGCCATATAAGAGTCTGATTGAGGCTATAGGCCTACAACGGTCTTTTTTAAGACCTATGGCGCACGAACTAAATTGATGTCTATATTTAACAGCTCATTTCGTACTTGTCAATGATTCAAGGTTTACAAGAATACGTATTCATTCTCAATGTGTTGCTGTGAATAGCATGTGATATAAACACCAGGGTTTATCCGTTTGTACAATGCTTCATAGCTTGTTTTACATTTCTTGTTGAAATTATAATTTTCTGAACACACACAACATTGTATCATGCAATTCAGTATAATTGAAGAGATTTTATACTTATTCAGTTATTTTATATCATCTCAGGCGGATTTTCATGTCTGCTTACTTGAGATCATGTATTGGAAAATGTAAAGTTTTGCACTTGTCTTATAGTATGTTTACAGAGCACGAAGGATGTAGATTTAAATTCACATCCAGAGATTTGTTTGAATGCGTAAAATAGTGTAAAACTTGAAGTATACTTTTCGTCGCCATTTGACCATTACAATAATAAGTTTGTCTACGAAAACATCGGAGTAGTGTGCAGTGGCATAGCAGACATGTTAATTGGGAAGGGGGGGGGGGCACATATTCATATATTCATGTTTTGCAGCATTAATTTCCTTTGAAATCCATTGTTTTCAATGGATTAAGACATACATATATGAATTTGCCCTCCCCCAATTAACAATTTTGGTATCCCAATGGTAGTGTGAATTTGCTTTGATTCTACTGTTGATGTTAGGTACTTTATTCAGTTGAAGACAAAAAAGGACTCAGATAGGACTCAGATATCTGACTCAGATAGGAAATGTTTTATTAAATGTAAATGAAATGTAAATGATATTTTACATGCTTTTTTCTTTCTAGGAAGTACATTTGGAGAGAATGTGAGTATCTATGTACGAGAATGTATCAATGTCATATGAGTGCTATTGTTTTTCCAAACCAATGAGTATGATTACATATATCGTATGAATAAGGTTATAGTTTATAAATATGGTTATATCCTATGAGTATGGTTATTATATAACCTGTAAATATGCTTATTTTCTATGAATAGCCTATAAATTTGGTTGTATCCTATAAATATGGTTATTGCCTATAAATATGGTTGTATCCTATGATTAGCATGAATTGAATTGCTTCGATTTTATCAGTAGAACTGTAGGATTTATTTTCTCTCAAATAATTGTCAGTTAATCTTCCCTTTTGCTGTACTCAATTTCCTGTTTGTTGATACACAATAATGCATTAGTAAAGAACAAGGGGATTTTGCTGTAAATTGTTTGGAGAAGGAAATTCTTTTTAAATCTGCTAATCCTTTAGATTATAGTTTTTGAGCTTTGAAAGGAAAGGTCATCATTTCCAATCTCTTGATATATTGATTTATGGACGTATTTTTTTTATGAAAATACATGCTTAAATAATTTACCTCTTAAATTTTAACAGATGTCATTTAACAGTCCTGGTGGTGGTGGTGGTGGTTTCCTTGAGAAAACATTTGGAGAATCACCTTTGTCACAGGAAAAGGTATACTTCCATTTTAGGCTTTTGTTACAATAAAGAGTTAGGTTTTCTATCAGAATTTAAATTCCTCATTTCAAAACAAGGAAGGCTTCTCTAGCATACTTGCAAGTGTAGTTTATACCAATAACAACATAAGTTACATTATAAACTGTGTCTCGAAAATATAAGATTTTATGCATGCATTATGCAGTGTTTTGATAAAAGGCAAACTAGTTACATGCATTGACAGGCCATCATCTCCCTTGAGAATGGAATAACACCTGTAAATGCATTAACCTAATTTGAATTTCATGAAAATGCTGTTTAATTTATAAGGCAAACTAGTTCCATAGTCATGCATAAATCTGTGTGTTTCATTTTTTTAAGATGCACTGTGCATATAACTCTTAGTGCTTTCACGAAACTAACTAGTGTGGACATAGGCATCAATGGAACATTAATCGAGGGGAGGCATATTCATGTATTTTGCTATGCAGGCTTATTTTTTTGAAAGTGAACTTGTTTTCAAAAGAAATTACATATAGTCAGGCATTGCAGAATACATGAATGCCCCAAAGTAACACACAATTGATGCTTCTGGAGGGGACAATAGTGTTTTCAAACAGCAAAATGTTTCTACAGATTTAGTGTGAACAGCCCTAAATCTGAAGAAACATATGATTTTGCTAATAACACTTCAATAACTCTAATACATGGTGCAACCTCAAATTCTTGTTTACAATCTCAACGGTTGGTCATTTGCTGATTGTTTGAGCTGGTGACTTGTAAGATTTCAGATAAATTGTTTTAAGAGCAGATTTTTAATGAATATTTTGTTTAGCGAGAGGAAAAGACAGGAGCAGTTCCAGTTACTGTGGCTGCCATATTTAATGCAGAGTATGACATTGGTGTTGATGGTTTAGTTATTGATGGTGTTCACATTCATCAGGTAGACAGAAATATTATACGTATGTGCAATACCATTTAATCATGACAGTCAGAGTATGTCGCCACAAAAAGACAAACTTACTATTAAGAAAGATCTTGTAACATATCATTTCTTGCTTATAATATACTGCGCAAGTGTTAATAGACAATGAACTTGTTAATTTCCATATCCGATACTTTTAACCTGGTATGGAAAAGACATCGGGCAACTCAGGGCTTAACATGATGGTTGGTCTAGAGATAATGAGTGGAAAATACTTTATGAGGACGTTTGTTAACTGGCCAATTTTTTACCCCTTCGGTCATTTTCATAGCAACTGTATTTTTTACATCCTTTTTAAGATTACTATGGTGAGTCTGAGCCAAGGTGAAGCAACATTTGTTGTGCTTGAAATATCAAACACTTTGATTGGGCTAATATAAGGTTGACCATTTATCTTTTGGAACACAATTTAGCTGTTATTTTGAGCCATGCTTGCCGTAGGGTCTTGCTTTATTATGTATGTAAGATCTTGATGGCTTACAAAATTTGGAAGCTTAGTATATAGGTTGCATCACCAAGTATTTTATCGAGTTCATGCTCATGATAAACTTGAAAATATGTTATTTTTTAGGTTATTATAATTGGAATGATTGTGAAAGTTGTGGCAAAACCCCTGTATTCAAATTTCGCTATACAAGATCACACGGGTGGACAGATAAAGGTGACAAAATGGGTGGATCATCAGGTAATTGTGTACTGGCGTTCATATTGTAGGCATTTGCGTATTATAATATTTGTCAAATAGCACAGCGAAATCTACGGCAATGAAATCTCACATGTGGCAATATATTATCTAAATAAATAATGTTTCATTACACCTGTTATAAATGACACTCACGCGTAAAACGATCGAAGAAAGATTTTGATTAATGTTTACATTTACTTTGGTAGCCCAAGTAATAAAAGTTATACGAGAATATGACTAAGCTTTGGTGCAGTGGCGGTCTCTTGACGAAATATTGGGGCGATGGGCAAAATGAATGGAATGATAATCTGAAATGTTGCCGAAACAATTAGGCTCAAATACTTAAATTAGCCAAGTCTGAATGAATAAATTTTAGTAAATGTTAACAAATGATAAATTTGTCCGAACTGTTCAATCATGAAAATATGCAAACAAACACAATATGTGCTAGTTTTCTTTGACAAGTTTTTTAAAAAGCACTTGACTCGACAAACCTTTATTGCCAAAAATAACTCGTGTGCTAAATGATTAATGTCGGAAAATTCGAAGAGAAGTCATAAAGCTAAAACTCGCTTATTTGCTCTCCATACATTGAAATACATTGTTTTATTTTATTCAATGTTTGCCATGCTTTCTTACTTTAGTTGTGCTTAGTGGGAAATTAAATGCTCCACAGACCCCTGATCGTGACGCGCCAGAATGTTAAGCTACTAAAAGTGCACTTATTTTAGGAATCGCCAGAGGATGAGCCTGAAGACACGCTTAGGTAATTTTGAACGCTTAGGTCGTCAGTTTATTATTTTGATATAGCGTTTTTTTATCTTCATAATGGAGTCTTTGCCAATTTTAGTGTAGTGTACTCATCAGGAATGATTTCATGTTCGATTTTACTCTGTTCGCCATCAGTTTTGATAAGAGCAGTCACGAGAACGTTAACTGGGTGTCGGGCGAGGGTTGGGGATTGAGGTGTTTATTCGTATATTTAGTTGTGCCCAATTGATTTCTTTTGAATTTACAATTCTTAATTCCTTCAGTGAATTGTTTTCAAACGAAACCAGTCAGGGCTAACTGAATATATGAATAAATCACCCACACACACACTAACGTTCTAGTGACGACCCATGGAAAGCGTAGTATTTAAAACTGCTCAATTTTCATCATGATTACTTGACTATAGAAGTCCTGCTTTTCATACGAAAAAAGATAAAAGGACAATTTCTTCATCTTATTTTCATTGTAGGGAAGATACATGGGGGTCTATGGCATGGTGAGAAATCCTGAAAACGCACCACGACATATCATAGCCTTCCACATGTGGACCGTAGTTAATTTCTCAGAAATTGTGTTTCATTTATATGAAGTCATGAACATGCATGTCTACTTGAAAAGGGTATGTCACCATCGACGATTTCTCTGGGAGGATGCCGTTTTGCTTACGGAGGGGAGGGGGGTCAGCGTAAAATTTTTACTGGTATATTGTGGTACCAGAGAATAGACATCTAACAAAAGACCCACTCTGCTAAAATCGTGGCATATTTTTTCACTACGCATGCGTGGCTTCCCAGCAAGATACTTTCACAAAACAAATATAGAATCCGTAGTATTGCACGACAATGCTATTTTGTTAATAATTCAAGTTTAAAGCAAAAGTTTGCCGAAATTTTCACATAGATTTATTATTTTGCGAAGAAGATAAGGTCCAAGCTTTTGTAGTGCAAAACGATATATTTGTAAAAACATCTATATTTTCTATTGCGATCTAGCGGAAATATCTTGCTGGAAGGCGTGTCTGCTTAGAATTTGCTTCAGAAAAGTGGGGACACCAACATAAGAGGTTCCGACATGAGTGGACCTTCTTTTAAGATATCTATTCTGTGCTGGTACAATGCGTGTGTTGGTGGCCATTGGGCAGCGGTAGAATTTTGGTATTGGAGTTGCAAATATTTACATGTTGTTGGTGTTTTGTTTAGAGGAAAAGTGGAAACAACCCGAAACCAGGTAGTAGTGGCATATCCGTGGAAATGATCAAGAACAACGACTTACCGAGCGAACTAAGTGAAAGACCGGAGATTGAAGCGAAGGTATGTTGACGATACTATCATCTCATTAACTAATTTGGAATGGGGAACTTTTCTGTTTGCGTTGGTTGATTTCCTACCTACGAATTTTGTGGAGGGTGCGGTGAGGTTCTACATCCCAAACGTCAGATTTTATACACCTAAGTAAATTGTTCACCATTCTAAGAAACATTTTCTCCACCCCACCACCACGCAATTTTTATCAAAACAAATCGGCTTTACAGTTGAAGTGCAGTTTTCCGGGCGATGTTTCTACTCGTTGGCAGCACTACCAGACCGTCCTAAATTCTAGACCCATGCTTTGTCTTTTGTCACTTCCTTTAACAGCTCTACTCCTAAAAGTGTTTTCACCACCTCTGTAGAAATATAATAAAATCTGTCCATGTTATTCCCAGTTATTCCCTTCCAATTCCGGTGCCAGAACTCTATAATATTTTGTTCTCCTCGACAAATTCAATTGCCTTCATATATAAATAAAAGATTTTACTGGTTAAGTATAAAGATTTTCGTTGCGTTTAATTTAAGGCGTATCAGGCCGTTGCACAGTTTGATATGAGAGAACACGGTGCTCCCTTAAATGAAGTTTCCAAAATATTAAATGTCACGGAAAGTCGATGTCGGTGAGTGGAAGTTCATGTTTTTAATCTTTGCATGATCCATTGAACTAAATAGATTGAAGGCTACCCCAGTCGATAGTTTGAAGCCAGTAGGGCCCAGTCTTTCCACGCAATTTAAACACACAACCAATAGTTGCGAACGCAAAAAAATACGTTCTACGAAGCTCCGAAAACAAAACACAAATCCTTTTTTGTTTTTACTTGGCAAACGAAATTTTTTAAATGAAACTTAACATCAAGCATTCACAATTTTTTGACAATTAAATTTTTGTAAAGGAGCCATAGCCAACCATAACAAGAAGGCATTTTGCTAGAGTTATTTGTTCTCTTATGTCCGAAAGCATAACAAGAAGTAAGTTGATTAAAAACTAAAACGTTTTTGTTGCAAAGGAGCCACTATTATGCACAAGATTTTTACGAACTTTATAAATCATAAAAAAGCAAGTAAAATTTTAAACAAATATCAGTTTTGGAAATTCATTTTTATCCAAAACCAATATTAGTAGTTCGACGTACAAATTTAGAGAAATATATAGTTTTTAGTACGAACTTACACGAGATTTGGATTTAAAAGATAAATTAAATTATACTCATCACATGTTAGATGAATTTATGCACCAACAATGGAAATCATCCCAAAGGGTTTATTTTATGTATCTAATAATTTTTCGCCTTTAATTACTTCAGTTAATTTAGCCTTATGCAAAATATACAAACATGCTACCTTATTTCGAACATCATTTTTACAAAACTAATGGTTTCTGTAAATAGGTTTACATACAAATCCCGAAGTATTCCAGGAGAAACTCATACTTAATGCAATGTTTCCGATGTGTATAAAATGAACGTTGTCATTGTCTTTCATCGTTTCCAACGATGACATTTTCCATTTCAAAATACGTATTCCATAGAAAGTATCATAATTGACTGAATAAAGATCAAGCCCCATCACCCTTAATGCCACAATATTTTTCTATGTTTATTCTTTGAGCGAAATCAGAAAAAAGTCTTCGGTAAAAACATGTTTCTTTAACAAATCTCGCGTAACGTGTAGCTTCGCGTGATACACGTAAATTGACCTCCAGACACGCGTGTAAATTTTTGGTTTGAAAAAATTATTAGGATTTTCTATTACAGGTAGCCTTCCATATATTTTAGTTCAATGCTTGCAACTAAAGAATTTCGACGAGTCATGTATCTAGTAGATTGCATGGGTTCTAGGTCATTGCTTTATTCGCCAATGAAGATATCTGGATAATGTATGTGTACATGCTACGCTGGCGAACAATAATTTTCTTTTGATTTTTTTAAATACACCAAGTTAAGTAACGACAGTATGAAACATTCAGTTTATTAGTCTGTTTTTTGTGGATAGAGAATTTTTTGTCCCTCCTTTTACCAAAACTTCTAAAAAAGGTAAATTGTTTTATATTCAATCACCGGAAAAACAATGGTTCATTTGTATAAGTAATAGCATGGTTTCGAGTGCAATTTGGGAAAAACATGCACCAGTAAGTTCTTCAAAGACTATCAAAATTTAAAGTCTTTAAAAAACTCACGAGGGGCATGTTTTCCAAATTGTACGAGAAACCATGCTATTACTTATTATAATTATATGGCAACTGTCACTTCCGGCTAAATGGCGCGCTTTGATAGGCTGAGAAACATTTTTGCAGGTCCATTCTTTTCCCGTAGTCGACCACGGTCTAAAACGCGTAATTTTACTGTCAAATGTAAACAAATTTCGTAATGCAAACAGCAAAACGTAAATCAAACGAAACAAAAAGCCATTTACGAATGTTATTCGAAGGAAAAACACTTGGAAAACAGCTTAACTATCCAGACGAAACAATGCGAAACGATTTATTTTTTATGGACAAAAACTAGAAAAGTGAAATCCTACCCGTAGAAAACAGCAAGGACGAGAAAGAAAGCAAGCTTCGTTTCAGATAAATTAATGCCACAAAATAAGCCTTTTAATAACCTCGCTTTCTCGGTCTTTACGGAGAAATATCGTACCTCTGTCTTTTTGTACAAACTTCGCCCTACGGTCTCGGTCTGTAAAAAAAGACCTCAGTCAGATATTTCTCCGTAAAGACCTCGCGCTCGGTTAGTAAGGGCTTAATAATATACATAGAAACCATGCTATTACATATTAATAATATACATGAAAAAATTTTTCAATTCTGTTAATTTTTAAATTACGTACGTACGTTTCAGCTGGCTAGTTATTAATATCGACCGGCTCGTATATTTCAATTCCGTCGGATATTGCTTTTCACAAAACCATAGCTTCCACACACACCGCTAGAACACGGTATCTACTTTTAGCAGTATTCATATTTGTATCCAGAAACATCTTTAAAACGGTGAACTTCCAACTCGTTCGCCAAAGAAAATCTACTTAAAACTTACACCAGCTATTGTAATTGTTTGTTTACAATAATGTAACTTTCCCGCCTTTGAAATGTTTTATTTTGATTGGCTCTTATATTACTTCCTTTTTGACTGAGAAATCAATAGTAGTTTTGAAGATAAATCAGCACTGGTGCTTCGCTTTTTTGCACTGGTGTTTGGCTTTTTTGCACCGGTGTTTTGCATTTTTGCACTGGTATTTAGGAAAAATTGCAATGCTCTTAACCAATCAGAATTGAGAAATTTTTTCATGTATATTATTAATAAAGAAATGAATAATGATGCTGTATTCACCAATACAGTGAAATTAATTGCTAGCTACTTTTTTATTGATTACATTCATCAACGCTGGAAGCTCCTCTACCATGAGTTGCACGAAATTACTCGCACGAAATATTTTTTTACATGGCAGGAAATTTTTATGTAATAAAACTTAGATTTGGAATCTACAAAGCAAACTACACTTTATGACTTGCATTATGTACAGTTAAAATATCAATAGAAAATGGACGGACTATAATGAGGTAACCACTAACTTTGATGGGGAGCGCTTGGTTTCATTAGCTTTTGAGCCAAAGTTCTCGCAGGAGATATTTGTGAAGTTTACTGATTGAATTATAGTGTTTTATCAAGTCCTGACATGTACCGTCACATACCAACGATTTTCATAAGTTTTCATATAATATATATTATCTCTAGATCTCGATGCTTATGTATATCTTGTCCATTTTGTTTCTTAGTGATATATTGGTGACTTTGCAGGATGTTGGTCTTGTCTACACAACAATGGATGATAATCACTTCAAAGCAATCAGTTAACAGTGTAGCTATATATATTTATTTTTACGTGTATCGAGATGTAATGTATATTTTCAGTCGATTATTGAGATGTTTTTGTTTGGGATCAACGCTAAATTGGAGTAGACTCAATAAACACATTTACACACGTACAAAGTCTGTCACAACATTAGTTCGTGCATGTAAAATATATTATGTAAAATATATTGTCCACAGTAACCACATCTTTGTTCCTTATATTTTGTTTTCTTTTATCGTTACACGACGTCTTTTTGCGCAAATAATTGCATATGTATATAACTGTCATTGACACTTTGTACTAAGTATGAAGGATTTTTCAAAAATTTACAGATATCCGTCCAAGTACCCCTTTACGAAACTGTTTATTTATTTTAAATAAAAGACTTCCTAAAACTGTAATTTACTTTCTTTTTCACATTATTGTTTGCATGATTACTTTTGAAGTCATTGAAGTTTTTGTGATATGTAAATAAGAGAATTCATGTTCCTTTGTTTCCTAGTTAAGATATTAAGCAATTATTGGATTAGGTTGAGCATGAAATCAAGAATTATTTAAACCGAAGTCAATGTTATTTGCCGAAGTGAAGCTGAGGTGGATGACATTGACCGATGTCTGAGTAATTTTTGATATCATGCGCAAAACGAATTCAATAATTGTTTTATTATTCACCTCAACTAACTGAATTATTATTAAAACTGATAAAGGTAAAACATTTTCAAACCATCGCTAATTGTCGCTGAAACAAAATGTTTTTTCATATTCTTCTCGTTTAAATATGCTGTAAATATGTTCAAAGCCAGCTTCGTCGCTTTTTTAGTGTTTACCCCTTCTTTTTTGCTCAAATGCTTTTGCTCATCATTCTTAGAAACTGTGGTAAATATCGTTGTTTCATTTTTTTCAAATCAAAACTGAAAATATGCATTCATACAGCTCGGTGTCATAAAAAAGTGAAGATCTTCGCAAAAAGAGTGCTTAAAAAGGTATTTTATTGATATAAATGCATAAATATGTAAATGCAGTAAAAGGACATGAACCATACACAAAAAAGTTGTATGAAACACTATGAATACTAAAAATAGTTCTAAAGATAACAAATACCATAGTGAATGGTAAAAGTAATGTAATAAGTTGATAGTTCTTAAAAGAACTGTTTTAATCAAAGAGCACTAACCCAATAGTTCTAAATTAAATGACACGATACATTTCGGCAGATTACTCTTCAGGTGTCAACGTCTGCTAAATAAAAATTTACAATCTACCAATATTTAATTGCCTAGAAAGAGTGTACGTCATCTCCAAAAGGGGATGACTCCGCGATTTCATGTGACTCCGCGATAGGTAAACATCTCTCGAATAACTCCCATTGTGCTGATTCTTATTCAGACGACAATTTTAGATTCATTAAGAAATGCCGTTCATATTGGTAGATTGTAAATTTTCATTTAGCAGACGTTGACACCTAAATAGTAGTCTGCCGAAATGCATCGTGTCATTTAATTTAGAACTTTTGGGTTAGTGCTCTTTACTTAAAACAGTTCTTTTAAGAACTATCATCTTATATTACTTTTACCATTCACTGGTATTTGCTATCTTTAGAACTATTTTCAGACTTGTCACCACGACAAAGTCTCTATTTTATTATACTATGAATACTCTACTATGTTTTATATAGCATTCATATTCTTGAACATTCAGTTCCGTCTTGTAGACACTTGTATTAGTTTGTAAATCGATCGTCCTCGATTCTTGCTAAGTATGTTTCTCCTCGAAAATATCTTGCTGTGGAATCAACTAACTCTTTTAGATGCAAATTTAAAGCACAAAATGTGTCAAAAACGACACTAAATTAGTTTTTTCCACTGTCAAGAAGCAAAACAAACATCGGCCCCTGAAAAAAGTATCATTTCAGGGGGGGGTGGGAGTTGATGGATAATTTAGATGTGTTTTTGCTTTAGCCAATCATGGGACAAAACTATAGAAGTTATCGTTCCAGATGTATTTTAGTTCAATCGCTCAGAATGGTTTGCAATTGCTTATGAAAACTCACCTATAGACCAATCAGCGCACATGTTGTATTACCATAATATTTATAATGCTTAATAATATGGCTGGGTTTTTTTGGTGCAAAAGCATTGCCGGCTATCTTGAAACAATCAATTAATGAAATAAAGAAATGATAAAAATTTTAGTTCTGGCACGAATCGGGCTGCATCGTTTGGTAGCTAATAGATGAAACACACAGCTGAAGTTGCACGAAAATCTCAACTCCGAAAAACCTCTTTAAATTGGCCCAGCGTTTAAAATTGTGCCAAATCAAGTTCTCATATTAAAGTCACTTATTGCAATACAAAGAAAACAATGGTGTTTCAAGTTTGCTCAGATATTGCATCAAATTAAAGTGATTCTATGACGAAAACTTAACGTTAAAAAATAATCGATTTTAGCATTCAATAGTTTAAACACATATCAATTATTGCAAAAATAGTAATATAACGAGAGAATTATGAACAATTGAAATGTCAAATTTTCCTGTCCGCCATTAAAGTGGTTATATCACGAATTTTAGCCCCCCTTTTTTATTAGCTAAATTGAAAGACCTTGTTTCAGTGATTTTAAATCTGCAATTATAATTGAAATTGGATTGGTGAAAGTGATTTTACGGACGTTCAAAGTCACGATTTTCAGCATTTTTTTTGCGAACTTTTTGATCGGTATGCTAATGCTTGTGACGTAAAAGTTGAACACATATATGACCATGGCGTATTCTACAAGTAATCTTAATAGGAAACGCGGAGGAAAACGCTGTGTTGCTGGCGGACCTAATCAAATTAGTTGCGCCAATGATTCAAAAACAGAAGGAATGTCGATGCATCTGTTTCCTAAAAAAGAAACAGAGCCGCAAAGACATAGAAAATGAGTAAATTTTGTGCGTAAACATAGACCGGGTTTTGAGGCTTCCTCTACCTCGTGTCTGTGTTCTGCGCATTTTGAAGATTCTTGTTTTGACCTTAATTTGAGCGTGCAAGTCAAGCTCAAAAGAAGGTTGAAGAAAGATGCTATCCCAACCATTGACGTGGCTGGGATTCCTGAACCATTACAGGACGAAATAACCGATCGAAAGCGCAGACAAGTAAGTTTACGCTTGTTTATGTTAATTTTTCTTTTGTCATATGTAAATTCGATATAAGTTTTGTTGATTATTCGACATACTCTCCATAAGCCATCGCTGAAGGAAACATGTTCTCTCAATGAGGAAGTACCATCTACTAGTGATGGAGCTGAGCATGTTGAAGTATGCACTGGGGAAGCAAACGATTCGCCATTTGAAGAACTACATGCAGTTGGTGAAGATATTTGTGAATGCCAGTGTCCATGTAAATCGTGCCATCGTCTTAAGAAAAAACTTACATCTTTACAAAAGACTTTAAGCTGGTATAAAAATGTACTAAATGCAAAGCTCCAATGAAAGGACATCCTCGAGGTCAATGCTCCACTGAAAGAAGTTGGTAGATGATAGGGCAGTGGTCAGACATTGCTTGGAGCCTGTCTGGAATGGAGAAGTACCTTCCCACCACCAGCCTGAGGGTTCACCTTAGGCATGGATAGTACCCTCTAGCCTCCCTATCTGGGCACTGATATACACACCTTTCCTGATGATTACAGTATTAATATAACATTGAATGGTATGTATACTTGTCAGATTGAAGATGACTATCTCACTCGATTGTGCAACTAATTAATTTTCATGAATTTTTTTTATTGTAGTTTAATGCTCAACATGCCCTTTGCGGATGCAGTGCACTCAAGTGTGAAGACCTTATAAGATAAGTTCATGTGGCTTGCTATTTTCCATTTTTACATTTATGCTATGATTTAATTCCATATAATTTTTCTTTTGTCTTTTTTCCCAGACTGACATTGAAGAAAAGAGTTTCTTTACCATATAGTGCATCCATGTATCTCCTATTTGGTTTTCATCTAGGCATATTTCCCGACCATTCTAAACTCAGCAAAGAAGGCCAACAGTCTCTACAGTGCACAAGTTAAAAGACCTTTCCATCATCGCCCCTCTGATGGTATGTAACCTTTTGTGTTACCACTTGGATATGCTTTCCGAATAAAGTGGTAAACACAAGCAGGTAAAGGCCGAGTATTCTCCCATCCCATAGACCCACAAAACCATCGCATCAACCATCTGTGTGCCACAGCTCTCAAGTACCTGAAGTAAATAAAAAGGTTGGACTAATTATTGTTGATGATAACATTGTTTCTCATACAATTTACAATCTTACATATTTAATGATTGTGATGCTTGGCGGCGATAAGCACGTCCATTCCTATCTCTCAATAGTGGCCCGACGTTTTCAAGGACAGCCTCATGAACTAAAGGCCCAAATTTGGCATGCTGTGTTATGCATGATATTTTCTCAATGCTGCCATCGAATGTCATTTTCTGCAAAGCTGGTCCAATTTCCTTACAGCATCTGTACTCTAATGCGCCTTCTAACAAATCGGTATGACAGCATTGACAATTACACCTGAAACATGGGAGCATTCTGGTTTATAAAGTAACTTTATGTATATTACAAACAGGAGAAAACAACAACTTACCATTCACCAAGTGGAATTACGCCATCACTTCGTTGTTCTAATGTCGCAGGGAGAACTCCATCGGGATCATCTGGAGTATGCACTTTATCACCATCTCCTGCTAGCGGTTCATCGTCATATGCGAAGTCGTTTAAATACTCGACATAACCCACAGATTCCGAGCTCGAATCAGATACGCATTCAGACATCGAATTCGAATTATCTGAGCACTGATTTGAGGCCATACTTTCCGGACAACTTGTTTTTTAATATTTTATTGAAAATACTGTCATTATTTGTTTTTAAGACAAGAAAAACGACAACAAAATCACCTCCTATAATATAATATTATATTGACGGAAACAGACGTGTTCAACTATCTACGTCACAAGTATCAATATGGCGTCGTAAAAAATTCGCAAATAGTACCCGACTTTGGAGGCAAAATTAAGCAACTTATATTTATCTGTTTAAGTCCAGCGACATGTCATAGTTCTTCAAATAATCCAAATTTTTAATTAAGCTCATAAAAAAGGGGGGCTAAAATTCGTGATATAACCACTTTAATATCGGCCATTTTGAAGATATGCAATCAGCAAAGGTCTGTGACGTCATAGTCTTAACACGGCAAGTAGCGCACATGGGAAAGTATACAAAATAATTCGTAATAGAGCAAACAAATGTCAAATTCATCGAGATCTAGCTCGCTCTCAGAGTCTTCGGTGGAGACCAACGCACCGGTTTCTTCATCGGAATTTATGAAGGCAAATTCGGACGAATCTAATTCGGAAATTTTGCTATTTGCCGATAATAATGAAGCGCTTGCTTCGCCCGATGAAATTACTGAGTACGAAGCTGCAGTCGCAGAAGAGCGGCGGGTTGAGGACATGCTGCAAGATCGTTTTGATGCCCGTGTTGATGTTACTTCATGGTAAAATGTCATTCTTAGTGCGTTACTTTGATCTGAATCGTCTACCGTTATCTATGATAACTTTATGGAAACATATAATTTGGCCAATATTAAAGGTGTGAATGTGGCCATTGTTCGTTGGATCTTGTAGTCAACCCTCAAGAGTGCCGATGCTGCATGGAAATAGAGCAATGCCGTGGTAAAATGTATCATAACGAAATCGATGAAAGGAAATGCATTTTGGATCACTCTGGCATTAACGAAGTTTGCCTGAACGAATTTGTTCTTTAAATAGCAGCTTCGTTAGGTTTAAAGCCAGTCAGGTTTAAATCTTCTTTGTTCATGCTGGACACAGACACTTCAAATTGTATTTCCTTTAAAACCTTAGTATAAATGTATATTAAATATTGGAAGTTTGCCTGGATGTATTATTGCTTCTATCAAATTGTATAAATTTATCATCTGCAATATATGTAAGTATATAATACTTGTAACTTGTGCTAACCTGACGCCGCTCTCTTGACGTTGTTGGTGTTGGTGATTTCTTCCAAATAGTAGGTACGGCACCAGGTTTGTGCCGTCTAGTCATACCACCCAAATGGAATAAACGCTCAAAACAATCTTCCGAGAAGTGATTCGAACAAATCAGAAATCGAATTTCGCGCGAACTCGGATTAAAATTTGAGCGCTTCGTCCGAACAAATTTGACCCAAATTCTTCTCAAAGACTCGTCGTTTGGGCTTTTATGCAAAGAAATGCCTGTACTTATATCAGTTTTATTACTGCAATCTTGCACGACACAGCGTGTTGAAGGCATGTTAAAAAATTTAGTTATACAACCTTTTAAATCTTTATTTGCATATAGTGTTATATTGTAAACAGCCGCGAGTTAAGACTATGACGTCACAGGCACCTTCTACTCAAATATGACGCCTTTCAAGGGCGCTCTTAAAGTTCAAGTTTTATCGCTACTTAACTCGAGTAGCATTAAATGTATTGCGATAAAATTTCGCCAGAAGACCTTTTTTACATACACTATTAATCTATGAAAAAAATATTTTCGGCAATATTTTCGTCATAGTAGCACTTTAATTGGCCTTGAAAAGATATTGCACGCGGGCTTAGATTTTGGAAAGCAGTCTCAGAAACAGGGAAAAAAACCTGTTTTTTTCAAGTATACTTTTTATTAATATACTCTGTGTCTTCAGATTTCGTGATTCGAAAAATATGTTTCATTACTTGGCGAACGGTAAAACTAATTCGCAAAACAGAGTGAATTTTTGTTACATTCATTCATTCATTCATTAACAAGAGTTTAGTTTTTTTAGCAAGAAAGAATGGCGCACTCACACTAGTAGGTAGGCCCCCTATGGATCGTTTGTTGCTTTTTATTGCAGTTGTGAAGTTCACTACAAATGGGCTTCACTGAAGAGCAATCTGTCATCGCGTTTTCTTTCGTTCTTTGGCGTGCGTTGGATAACTTGCTTACACTGTGATATGATTTGAAATAGAGTTTACGAGAAAAAATGTCTTTTGTACAAGAAAATAAAAGGTTCGTCTTTAAGTTTGCTTTTTACGGGCTATAGTTAATGTTCATTTTAGCTACATGTCTACGTCAATTAACTGTAAACATCTGTTATCGTTTTCATCCCTTTGCTCGCACCATTAAAGCGTCTTTTATCAAAGGAGGATACATTATCGTCGAGTAGAATGTGCTTCTGCCAGAAGTTTTACTTTTAGGTTAGCATACAGGCCATGTTGGGTGTTTTAATACGACTAAAATATGTATATCATTTTCACTGTAATTTATGTAAAAATGAGGCAATCAATGCCATGAAGGAGCTGAAAATCGTGAATTTATTTAACGTGCGGACGCTCATGTTTTCCTTGTTGTTTTTTAACAAGGTCCGTCTTCATAATTGTCACTTCGTTATTGTGTCTTAACCTTTTCATCAATGCCAAAGTTATCTGGCTATCTTTAAAACAAGGAATGAGGAATCAAGGAAGGGAACGAGGAATGCTAAAACAAGGAATGGGAAAAGACGGAATCTTTAAAACAAGGAATGAGAATGCCGGAATCTTTAAAACAAGACATGTGTAATTATGCAAACACCAATACATTTAAATCAAAGTCGTACGACATCGTACAAATTCCCAATTTTTTACAAATTTCATGCAAACGGCTAGTTAGATGCGTTATTTTTAGAAAAGCTTACGAAGAATGGTTCACAAGGCAATTACCACGGATTTTCATCAAATGGATTGCGAGAAAATTGCTTTTAAAGCGAGATATGAGTCTGGGCATGTTGCCAACTGATTTTGGAATTGCGAACCAATTGTGTCCTCGTATAATGTTAACAAAGAGTGGTCGGTATGTACCCAGTAAATTATCGTTTCTTTTGATTTATGACTGCCCATTGTGCCCAAACATTTGAACTGATTTTGGTCGCTATTTGGTCATTTGTCAACATGCGTCATCACTCTATTTTAATAAGTTTCGAGGGAAAAAGCTAACGGTTGAATGGCAATTTTTTCCTTTTTTTTTCTACCTACAAATCGAGATTTGTATCGCTCTATTTTCAGTTGATTTCTGCTTGCATTTTTGCATCATCTTAATTCAAATTCCACGATGTGTCGTAACTTGTAAACTTAGTTAACTTAGTATAAATAACTCGTGTAAATTTCAGCATATAATGCAACAGAGTTATTAAAGTTTGCATTTTTGTTGCTTTAAGATAATGCAGCATGTACGTTTTTCAAGTATTAAAATAATTATTTAGAGAGTGACACAAGTCGAAATTTACATAAATGGGCTATGTATTGCAAATAATTGCATGAATAAACTTTTTAAAACTGTTAAGTGCTAAATTTGAAGAATTTCTTTAAATTTCATAAGATGAGTTTTAATTTTTCAATATTATCTTTGGGTAATAAAAAGCATGGCATTTCTCTTGACTTTGACACCATGCAACATTTGTTACTATGAAAATGCAGTGATGACGCATGTTGACAAATAAGAAAATAGCGACCGAAATCAATTCAAATGTTTGGGCAAACTGGACAGTCATAAATTGAAAGAAACCGTAATTTACTGTGTACATACCGTACCGATCATTTTGTTAACTTTATACAGTGCTGTCCCTCTGTGTATGCACATTTCACCTGCCAAAACTTTATTTCCCCCTACTTCCCTCTACTATGATTTTCCTTGTTTTCCCCTACTTTTCCCCTACACAGCAACATATCCCTCTATTATATACCTACGTCGGGTCAGACCATTGAATTTTTTGGTCTGTTTTTAAAAAATGCATACAAAACAAGATTTATCGAAAACTAAAAACATCTAGACGACAAAGTTAGAATTTAGCGTATGAAGTAATGACATGCAGGTGGCGCAAATGACACACTGAGTTTATGATAAGCTGCTGATCTTCTATTGCAATATATGGTCACAAATTGTGCCAAAAAAAGATTCTGTTACAATCTCTTACTAAATGGTGAGAACACAGGAGAAAAGAGTATTTCGGGCAAAAATGAGGCTCATTTTAAAACGATTTTCTTTCATCTCTACAATCCCCCTACAATTTACAGTTTTCCCGTAGGTTTCCCTTGCCACCTACAAACCACTAAATCCCCCTACTGTAGGGCATTTCCCTTACGAGTGGCAGCACTGGCTTTATAAAAGGACACAATTGGTTCGAGGTCCCAAAATAATTTTTCAACATGCCCAGACTCATATCTCGCTTTAAAAGCAATTTTCTCGCAATCCATTGAATGAAACTCCGTGGTAATTGCCTTGTGAACCATTCTTCGTAAGCTTTTCTAAAAATAACGCATCTAACTAGCCGTTTGCATTAATTTGTAAAAAATTGGGAATTTATACGATGTCGTACAACTTTGTTTTGAATACACATTTTTTGCATAATTACACATTCCTTGTTTTATAGATTCCGATTTTCTCATTCCTTGTTTTAAAGTTTCCGGCTTTTCTCATTCCTGGTTTTAAAGATTCCGGCTTTTCTTGTTCCTTGTTTTCGCATTCTCCGTTCCCTTCCTCGAATCTTCATTCCTTGTTTCAAAGATAGCCTTTGTTAACTTTATACGAGGACACAATTGGTTCGAAGTCTCAAAATCAGTTGGTAATATGCCCAGACTCATATCTCGCTTAAAAGCAATTTTCTCGCAATCCATTCGACGAAACTTCGTGGTAATTGCCTTGTAAACCATTCTTCGTAAGCTTTTCTAAAAATAGCGCATCTAACTAGCCGTTTGCATGAAATTTGTAAAAAATTAGGAATTTGTTCGATGTAGTGCGACTTTGTTTTGAATATACTCCTGGTTTTAAAGATTCCGGCTTTTCTTATTCCTTGTTTTAAAGATTTCGGCTTTTCTCGTTCCTTGTTTTCCCATTCTCCCTTCCTTTGCTCATTCCTATCCTCGATTCCTCATTCCTTGTTTTAAACATAGCTTTTTATTAATTGTGACAGCACATTGAAAGTGGGACGTCCAGATTTTGACATTAAATTACTATAAAAAGTATTGTAGAAGGACTTTGTTCATTTAAAGACAAAAAGATTAAGTGCTCCTACGGACTGATCTTTGTCCAACGCAGCCTGTCTCTGCCTGCTTTGTTTTTGTGTGTTGGCACGTAGACTACAATAAACACAACATAGTAATTTATGTCTCATTTCCTGTCATTTAATAGATTATAACAATGATATAGTTGAAAGTTTCAATATCTGTCGCAACCTACATCAAATGAAATTTACTGAACAAGCTTTGGTTTTGAAGCATGCTCGTTTTCATTACGACTTGTATGCTCCATAAGTAAGACTGTTATTTAGAATCTATGGCAAAACTTCTCCCTCTCCATTCAAAATATATAGCTGTAATTTGTGCTCATTTGAGATCGAAAATTATAATAAACGAACAGGGGGCATTAATCCCATATCGACGACAAATAGAAAAATGTTATATTTGTCAGTAAGCATGCACGTATTGTGCATCACTTTATATCGCGATTGTGTGAAAGAATTGTTGGTGTCAGGCATTTATGTATATACTGCATTAACACATTTTTATACTACTGAAAATAAAATAAGGAAGGACTAGCTATATGTTTGCATGCCTAAAAAACAATGTGACGCGACCACGACCACAAATATAGCTTTGTAACAGTTTTTGCTTTACACGACTGTCTTATCCTTTAAAGAGTGACACTCGTCCCGGCAGCTCGTGGCCACTTTAGTTTTTATCACAATTGACGTCATACCAGTGTATCTATAACGGTATATGAATGTTTATAACGGTATAGTCAACGGTTAAATGTTAACTGTTTGTTATATAATCAATATAATAATAGGTGATGCATATTTATAAATCAAGTATACATATGAGGAAACTACAGAAACCGGTGTTTATATTATAATTTATAGTATATTCTATTATGATGATTATAATACTGTAATTTATAGTATAATATTCTCAGTCCAAAGTCGAAACAAGCTCTATATGAAGAAGTTTCCTAGCGGAGTAAAATGTTTCATCTTTGTCATCAGTAAATCAGATTGTATTAATTTAATTTTAATTTGATTTAATCTTGTTTCTCTTGTTCTTCTACACAATCAGTCCAGTTGGGACGCCAATGGGCAGCATAAAAGACAGAATTAAAAGTTTTGAGTTCATGAAAGAGAGCGGCAGTACGAGCCCGCAATCGCCATCTCCTATTCCTCCAGTAATGAAACATGAAAGTCCGAGAATGGCGCGACGTAATTCATCAAACGATGGCAGTGAGCGAAGGGATGATAGTGAGCGAAGGCACGATAGTAGTGAGCTAAGGGACGGTTGTAGTGAGCGAAGGGACGTTGGTAGTGAGCGGAGAAATGGTAGTGAGCGAAGACAGATGCGAAGATCGGAACGGCGTGAGGCTGAAATGCGACGTGAAAACCAACTTTTCGCCTTGAACACCCTGGAGGAATCTAAACATAGAGCTACGAAAGTTCAAAATGTAGAAGAAAATGTTAGTCAAGAAATTGGGAGACAAGTTCCAATAGCTCCTCCTCGTGTGACTCCTCGCATTACTCCACGTGTAATACCACGTGCAACTCCACATGAGAAAGAGATACTTAATGACTTAAGTATTGGAAGAAGACGAATCGAGAACTATGGTAAGATCTTACCTATTAGTTGCTTAAATTTAGATTTTACCTCATTTATTCAGTTGTAATTATCTAATGAGTTTAGTTCTTATAATATTTCATTTTTATAGGAGATTTTTCACCTTGTTCACTTCTTTTTCATCAGGGAGAGATTCCGATAAAAAAATATTGACTTATATAGTTTGTTTGTTTTTTGCATTATCGGCAGCTACAGCCAGTGAACTCATCTCGGACAAGAAAATGCTAAATCCTGATCCTCGTATCGACTTACCTCTCCTGCAAAACCATCAGATTCCCGTAGAAACCGATAACAAACATTCGACGTCAGATCATTTTTATAACAAACTCGATGTGTTGATTAACGAAAAAAATCCTAGTCGCTCACTCGTTGACATTATTCAAAAGAAGGAACTCAGAAAGGAAGTTGGCCTTGAAGTGGATGAACACATACTCGATGATAACGATAATCTGCATTGTAGAAATGAACATTTCATATACAGCAAAAAGAGTGATAAAGAGGTAGTTGTTTTACTACTAAAGTCGACTTAATGAGCATCAAATATTTCAAGACATTTTTGATTTGGCAAAAGTTTGTTTCATTGAAAGATACAGATGATACGTCTTTGTCAGAGTGCCAACTGCTTTTAAGTATAATTCTTTTCATATATATTGATACTTGTCGTGAGTAAGGTGTAAGTTTGTAAAGCCATCGTCTTCGTCATAAACTGTGAAATAAAAAATGTGTACCCTTTTAGACATTGTTTGGCATTTCTCGTGCAAATAGAATTCAAGGTTACTCTTATTAACGTCAACAACGAATTGATGATAACGATTTGTTTTGAGTTTAATAGTAAACTTTTTATAGATACGTAACTAATATATTTGATGATACACTAATTAACAGGCCTGTCCTTTTCCACCGCTGCCATTTTACAACAACAACGAATTCGTCAAAAACTCATCTGACTTATTCGAAAAAAAGCTTGTAAAGTAATGCTATAACCTAAAACGTTTTCTCACGTACTGCGTATGTCCTTGAAAAAGCTGACCAACTTCAAGTCACCTAACGCAGAAGACACGCACGAAGCCTAATCAATGAATTGCAGCAATCCACAAAAATGTGGCTAGTTGCGAGGTTTGTTTGATTCAACCCGTTTTTCCCCACTGTTAGCAAATGGCAATAGAAACAAAATGAACTCGAATACAACTGATAAAAAATTTAGAAACTATAGGGTTCATCTTTCAGTGTCTCAGTGACAAAAGGACTTCATTTGATAGCATGTTTAAAACTGATAATCATAAATATTGTTCTGAATGGTGTATTTGTTATAGCGATTAACAAATTCGCTATTCAGAGCAATATTTCAGTTTTTAACCACAACCAAGTGTTTGTTTTACAACTGATATTTTTTCTTCTTATAGGAAAACATTGCAAGTGAGAATGAAAACGACAAGGTCTTTGTTGAGGATGCTCACGAGAATTGCATGGCCAAAAGTGACTTTGTTCAAGGTAAAGGGCGCATTTTCAATGAAGATAGCGAAGCTCCAATAGACAATGGTATTTCTACTGGTGAAACAGAATTAGAAGAAGAGCAAGAGGTTGATTCTTATGGTGAAGATGACCAACTAATTGATATAAGTGATGAATTTTCTTTTTACCAAAACTCGAAGATGAATGTTTCGATGATAGGAAAAGAGAATGAGTCTTCTGAACCAAAAAATGAAAGCTTCAATGGGCGTCGTGATAATCTGCCTACATCAAATATACCTTCAGACAAAGGTAATTCTCAACTGGAGAAGCAAGGCCATCGATATAAGGTTGATTCACGAATTTTGTTGCACGGCAATGATGGCCTATCTGCTAGACCTGTTACAAAAGTGGAAAACAGAAATGGTTCAGACATGAAGCTGCATAAAAAGCAAACAGACGCCAACGAAAATGGTGATATGATTGAGCGTCAACTTTACATGGTTCAGCAGTCTGTAATCTCCTTAGATGAGTCGAAAGGTGAAGCTAAACAATATCAAATGCAACGTGGAGTTAATGAAAGTGACAATATAAGACAGCTACGACAACGAAAAAGCGATGAATCTATTCAAGTGGCTCAAACGCAGAGCACGAGCAACACAAAATGCGGTCATCGGAGACACGGAAGTGACAATAGCAAAGAGTTTGCCAGACTTAAACGAGATGGAGCATCTGAGATTGAGAATCCAGATTATGCAATGCAGAACATGCGAAAGCTAAGCCAACAAAGTCGTCGGGAAAGATCAAAATCACTTCCTAGATACCCGAAAAGATCCGGCAGCAGAAGTTCTTTGAAATCAATTACGGCTGAAAATATTCAAGAAATTCTTTCAAGTTTGGCTGATCAGCAGAGGAAGAGCGAAGAGCAAGCCATTCCAAACAGGGAAGACATTAAAAGCAATTCACTCTTTGGTCATGGCAGCCACAAAAGAAACTGCGTTCGTGATATGATTGCAAAAACTGGAGATTACAGTGAGGTAGGTTGATTTATAAACGCACGTAGGCGTAGACTTGCTTCTTAAATATTTTGAAAAAGTGCAAGTATTTGGATATGGAAAAGCATCCGTGAGGGGGCCGGAGACGTTACGGAGCCTTGCAGGGCTAGTAGAAGGTTACGTTGAAACGGCAGTTCCCTGGGAATGATCATTTAAATTTGTATATCTATAGTTACTGCTTTCCTCATTCCGATCTCCAACAAACCCTACATATTCGTATCAAATTCATTTGATAAGAAACTCTGTATAAGTAGAAATTAAAAAAACTAATCCTAAGCATATACTTAAAGCTACTTAGCATTATAATTCCACTTCAGCAGTGAATATTATCGGTAATTATTTGGTATAATAACACAAGCCCAATTATAAGCCACTTAAAAATACGACAATTATTACCTTCTAAATGACAGTTTGCACTTGTTTTTATCAGCTAAACGCGGCCACTCAGAGGAATTTCTATGCAAGGAACGTGATCAGTCCTGAAATAAAGAATACGCCAGAAGAGGAGAGCGACGCAAGTTCCTCATTGGATTTTCGTGATCCTTACGGAAGGAAAGCGTTCGTGTGCGCCGTGCACGAAGAACCGTGCAAGTACTACTGCCAGGAATGCGAACGTCTCATTTGTAGTGAGTGTGCAATGCGTTGGGGCGATTGTCACGAACATTACTACCTTCGTGTGAAAGATGCGTGGAAAAAATATCGTGAAGAGATGACGAAGATTCTGAAAGACGCTAGATACAGCGTGTCTCGAATCCAAGACGACATTTTGGACAACTCAAGGCAGCGCGACAATTTCAAGTTGAAAGTCCAGTCCACCATCAAAAAAATCGACAGCTTTTTTGATGAGCACGTGCAAGCTTTGGAGAAACGGCGTTTGAGTTTCTTGGAAACGGTCGAAGAAATCATGAAATTCCGCGAAATTGGCATAAACCAAGGTATCGAAAGTCTTCAAAACAACTTGTTCGAAACGAAAACGACCATTAATGTTGCTGGTCACGTTTACGAGAGCAGCACCATGATGGAGTTCTTACAAGTGTGCAAGCAACTTACCAATCGCCTCGTGGAACTTGGACTTAGGAAAATGAAAGTGGGCATCACTGAAAATGTAGACATCGACTTTATAACTTTTCCAAGTTTACTACACGACATCGAAAAAGTTGGTCAACTGAAAAAACACACAAATGTTGCATCGAATGTGCCATCTGGAGAATTTGGAGAAAAGTACTCTCAAGAAAATAGTGACGGCGGGAAGAGTAAAAACACCGTTTTTGAAAGATCTGGTGCAAAGGAGAAAGTTCGACTGGGTTATTCGGAGCGATTTCCTTCTGAAAATCAAACAGAAATCATGCCATCTCAAGATACCAATTATGTTTCATCTGGTCAATCGCTTAAAAATATCAATTTATCATCTGTAGTATTGTTTGGCAAGTCTCAGAACATTGTAAAGCAAGCAATCAACGACAAAAAGGAATTGCCTTTGATTTGGGATGCGACCGAACAAATAATTATAGATTCTGGATTGATGTCACTCGATAAACAAAACGTAAATGGTGATGGAAAGAAAGTTTCGATTATCGATAACAAGAAAGTTATGGCTGATCAAAATGCTAACAACGAATGCCCATGTGATTTGATTGACAACATTGAAGTATTGAACACAGTGAGCTACGACAGGGCTAGAGCTGCTCAGATCCCTATGAATCAACAGCCAAATAAACCACAAGGTAGACGTCACAGTATGGACGATGTTCTTGACATCCAACGCAAAAAGGAAGAGATTCAGCGTCGACTTGGAAGCTTTCAGCGTTTCAGTTCGTCCAAGTCCACGTCTCAACATCACGATGAAGGTGAGCGTTATTTCTCGAGCGGTGAGGCTGAGAAACGGCGTCGCAAGCAGGAATACCACAAAGTCCGTTTCAATGACAGAGCCTACTACAGTAACCCAAGCGACAGCTCGGAGCTAGAAGAATTGCGCAGTTACAATTTTGATGCTCCCCCAACTAAGCAAAAAGTTCGTCGACACCGCACATTGCCATTGATAAGACCGATCACTGAACGACGTGATGCTAAGAGTCCTTGGACTCTGGACGTGTTCCGTTATCATGGTAAAATTCACTTCTCCCGTAACAGTCTAAAGGCAACGGGTAAAGCGTTCGGTTGGAACGCAGTCATCGGCAGTCTGGGTTTTTCTAAAGGAAAACACTCGTGGAAAGTCCGCGTTACTAAATGGACAGCGGTTGGGGTATGTTATAAAGATGACCACGTGGAAAATCCAAGCTGGGGAGCTGGTAACAAGTGGACATGGGATTCAGCAGACATGTGTTTTTCTCCTCGTTTTGGCGTCTGCGAGTCGCCAATGGGGGAATGGATCGATGGTGATATCATTGCTCTCGATTTGGATTGCGACAACAGTGCATTGGTTGTGCATAATCTGCGGACATCGCAAACAGACAAACTATACGGCTTTGAGGAGCCGGTGTATCCCTACTTTTATCTGTCAGTATTCCGTAGTATAAGCATCGTCGAGATTGATGGTATTCAAGTGGGCTCATAGAAATATTATGCAAGTTGTATTTTTCTATAATGGCTTGATGTATGCTAATAAGTAAGAACGATTGAATTCTTTCCCCAATAAAATATAGACCAATATAGTTAAAGATAAAACGGTCATGATTTAATTATAAACACGAAACATGGTTATAGAAAACGCTTTCCTTGTTTATACAGAATAATGAAAACACGTGGAAATCTTTTGTAAAAACGAGAAAGTGAGTGGCACAAGTGTTTCTATAACTCAAAGAACAAGTATATTTTCAATTTCCTTTATAAATATTCTTTTTGAAACAATACTAAAAAATAAATTTAATGATTCTTATTATACATTGTTTATATTTTTGCATTTATGTTGACAAACTTTTGTGCAGCAAAACTGACTATATAGAATCATTTCTTGGAAATAGTTTTTGATTTGTCTTTTAATGTTCTCGCGAAATGTCAATAGTTAATAAATAGTTTCAACGGATTTTTGATTCTTTTCATTGATAGTCATTTTACGAAGTATGTTTCCAGAATATATATTTGTAGTTTTTAATACCGAGAAAACAGACTATGTTAAATACACTAAATTTGCCTGTCTTCTCCAACTCACACTCTGGACGAGTGATGGCTCGCAAGTTTCTCAGATTGTGATGAGCTTCGAGATTTTCGAGGGTCAGTTGTTGTTGGGCCGTAATATCTTGCAAAAACGAGAATCCTACACATCAAACCTTGCTCAAATCTTTTTCTCTAACTCTCTACGATTGTAGAGAGATATATTTTTATTAGTCGACAACCTCAATGCAAACACAAATTAATCACATTTTTCCATTAAACCCTTTCCTAATCTCACATTAAGTGCATAGGTTTTAAGTGCAGGAAGATGTTCGAAGTCATGGCGCTCAAGATGCTTGCCATAGTTGCAAGTCTTTGAAGATCTAAAATTTAAATCTTTACTTGAATTTTAGCTGTACTTAGTACATAGTAAATTGATTTATCTTATGTTTTACCTCAAAGTGTTTATGTTTTACCTCAAAGTGAAATTTTATAATCTTGTTAATTCTTATATCATCGTTTGTGGAGAATATGTGGGAAATGGATGGCAAAATATGCTTGTATAATGTGAAGTCCATAAAATTGAATTTGGTGTAGAGTTCACTCTTAAGAAGGCCCATGTCTCAGCTTTTAAAAGTTAGGGAGGCAAGAAACCCCTGCCCTCGTGCCTCCTACGCCCATGCATGATTTTCCCGAACTTTTTCGTTGCTGTTGCTCACTTTTTTACTCTGTAATGATGTCATTTGATTGGAAACAGCATATAACAAACACATCTCACTCTGCCGATTTTAATGACTTCTCAATTCTCTCTTCATCCTCCGACAAGTTTGGCCTTATGATTCACGAAATTCTTCTCATATCTATGCTTAAACACTCTATTAAAACACAAGGCATCTCAATTCTCTACCTTTCACCTTCTTTAATATACTCCCATTCTCATTTTATTCTGTTATCTCAACTTTCTACTTTCTTTATATGTAACTTAACAAACTTTATAAAATAAACACAATGAAACGAGTGCACTGATTGGTCTGGAGCTGTGTTTGCATTAGCCTGTGTAAGACACATCTGAGCTCAACCAATCAAATCAATCTATACAATCAATCAGTCAAAGAGAATCTGCAAATCGATCATGAATACATTTTAGAGATAAAATTAAAACGTTTACTTTAAATTTGTTTGTTTTGCATTTGTATTACTTATAAAAGAAATAAAAGTAGTTTTCATGTTTGCACTGGCTTATGCAAACCTCGGAGACGTTTGTGAGAACTCTCGATCAGGTGCAACCCTCAACCTTCGGTCTCGGGCTTGCAATGATATGCTCTTGAGCTCTCCCAAAAGTCTCCTCGGTTTGTGTAAGCTCGTGCAAACACAATAAACATCTTTTATTTCTTAAGTATAAAATAAACACAATAAAACTCGTGCGCTGATTGGTGTAGAGCTGAGTTTGCATTAGCCAGTGCAAAACACATCTGAGCTCAACCAATCAAATCAATCTATACAATCAATCAGTCAAAGAGAATTTGCAAATCGATCATGAATACATTTTCGAGGAAAATTAAAATGTTTGTCTTTTTTCGCATTATTGTTATTTTCTAAAAGAAATAAAAGATATTGTTCGTGTTTGCACTGGCATGCAAACCTCGGAGACGTTTGTGAGAACTCGATCAGGTGCAACCCTCAACCTTCGGTCTCGGGCTTGCAATGATATGCTCTTGAGCTCTCCCAAAAGTCTCCTCGGTTTGTATAAGCTCGTGCAAATACAATAAACATCTTTTATTTCTTAAGTATAAAATAAGCACAATAAAACTCGTGCGCTGATTGGTGTAGAGCTGAGTTTGCATTAGCCAGTGCAAAACACATCTGAGCTCAACCAATCAAATCAATCTATACAATCAATCAGTCAAAGAGAATTTGCAAATCGATCATGAATACATTTTCGAGGAAAATTAAAATGTTTGTCTTTTTTCGCATTATTGTTTTTTTCTAAAAGAAATAAAAGATATTGTTCGTGTTTGCACTAGCTTATGCAAACCTCGGAGACGTTTGTGAGAACTCTTGAGCAAGTGCAACCCTCGACCTTTGGTCTCAGGCTTGCACTGATCTGCTTTCGAGTTCTCTCAAAGGTCTCCTTCGTTTGCATGAGCCTATGCAAACACGGTAAACATCTTTTATTTCTTAATTAATATGTGCTTGTATTTAAAACCGAATGTGTAAAAATCATCTCAATTAATCTGAAGATGTCCTAATTTAAACACGAAACGTAAGTATTCAAAAATCCTTTTCTTATTTTATTGTTTTGACGGCTTTTTTAAATATCTTATGTTGGGCTATTATGTTTATATTGAAATTTTGCTTTGCGGCGGGCAAACCTCTGGCCACGACTTGAATAGGAGAAAACTTTTGAAAAAGTTGTCAAAAATATTACGAGCATTCAACCAATTAGAGCTCTTGTTTTAAAACAGCTATTTTATTAATAACAATGGAAAATAGCTCAATAAGAAAAGGGATTTTTTTCCAAAAATACGATTTGAGCCAACCAACCATTTTATAACGACTGAATTGTGGCGGAAGCCGAATTTAACTCGATTCGGGCATCAGAGGCGCAGCTAGAGGGGGCGCCGGGGTACATATGTCCCTGGGCGCCAAGATACAGGGGCGCCAAAATGAGGCTTCAAAATTTTTACGACAAGGGTAAAAAACCTGTCACAAGCGAGATTGCAGCAGCGGCTGTAGCAGACGCAGTGAACTCGACATTTAAATAACTGGAATGATAACAGAGGCCAAAAATTGAAGCCAAAAAAATATTTGTCGTCATCATTCATCATCACACGTCAGGCTCTAGTCTCTCGCGTGTTCATTTTAATTTTTCAAAATAATTTGTCCCTTGGTAATAGTAGAGTTCGGATCTTGATCAGAGCGTAAAAATAACGAAATTTTCTGAATGAAAAGGTTCACAGAAAGTGAATCAAAGTGATAAATCGAGAAGCAAGGTGAGGTGAACTTAGTCGATCGATATGCTCTTACGCTGCAGTTTTCATTTAAAACATATCAAAGTCTTTGAGAATATTCAATTATTGATATCGAGATAACAACAATTTAGTATTTCAAGCACTATCAAAATCGATGAAAACTACAATCGCTCCGTAAAAAGTAAAATGCGAGTTATAGACTCAATATTTTTGAAACTGGATATTTAAGTTTCTTTTTCTTCGGAAAACAGATCTTTAAATCCCTGAAATGACAAAAAAAGACAAACACTGTCTGACACCGTTTGAAAATTTACCTTACGATGTAAGAAAAATTTTTGCTTGAATATTTTCTCGTCATATTTTCTTATTGTATTGTCTCTTTAGCATACAGTGTAATTTTCAGTTGGCTTTTCCTCGTTACAAGTTGTAAGTTACAACGAACTCACTGTATTAAAGTTTCAGCTGTAAAAAATAACCTTTTGCGAAGAGATGTCCTCGTGTGTCGTTTGTCGTGATGTTGTTTATATGTTTATGCTTTTGCAATTTGTATTCAAATTTATATTGGCCGTGTATGTTTGGCACTCAGGGGAATGAAACTGACGTACAAACCGTGCAAGAGACTAGGACTTTGGCTTCAATTTTATATCTATAAAATGTATTGTTGTTATCATTCCATATATATATATATATCTATAAAAGATAAAAGTTTCTCCGGAATTTAAGTAATTTTTATTGAGCTTTCGACTCGTTGCTTCGAGCCTTCATCAGAATGAGGATATTAATTTACACGTGCTTTTAGCTTGGAGACGTTTAGAGCGCCTAATTGGATTAGTGGGTGGATTAATGTGATTGGATGGGGTGAAATGCGTTGCCATGGGTTTTGGTGTAATGTGAATATGTTTGGTGTTAATAATATTAGAGTGTAGTGTTTTAGTTTTGGTGTTGTTTGTAGTTTTTGTCCTTTTCTTTAGTTGTGAGTATACGATGGGTATGTCGATATGTCTGTTTATTGTGTCGTTGTCTTTACTGTACCAAGCTTCTTTAAATTCGCGTGCGTGTTTGGTCTGTGCGCGTCCGAGTACTTTAGTTTCTGTCCAGTCGAATGTGTGGTTGTTTCCGTGGGTATGTTTTGCCGGTAGTGAGTTTGGATCTCGTCGTTTTATGGCGTTTTTGTGTTCTGTGAGTCTTATTTCAATTTTCTTAGATGTTTGTCCTATGTATTGCTTTGAACAGTCTTTACATGGTATCATGTAGATCGCGTCAGTTGTATCATGAATTGTTGTTTTGTCTTTATGTTTGGTGAAACATGATTTGAGTTTTTGTGTAGGTTTGTGGGTGACGTTAATAATGAATGGTCGAAGAAGTCTGGCAGTCATTGAAGAAGTCTGATGTTCCGTTTATGTATGGTAATGTGACGATTTTTACTGTTTCGTCCGGTTTTTTGTTGTTTTTGTCGGTTTGTGTTTTGTTTTGTATTTTGTATATAGTTTTGTTTATGAAGTTTCTAGGGTAATTGTTTTTAATAAATGTGGAGTATAAGTAGTTGCGTTCTGTTTTTTTGGCTTCTTCCGTATTACAATGAGTGTTTATCCTGTTGAAAAGTGTTCGAATGCAGCTTATTTTATGTTGTGTTGGATGATTGCTGTTGAAATCGAGTATTTGGTCTGTGTGTGGCTTTGCGGTATACTTGTGTGTTTAGTGTACCGTCATCTGTTCTGGTTAGTAGGATGTCGAGGAAGGTAAGTTGTTTGTCGTGCTCTTCTTCTTTAGTAAAGGTAATGTTCTTTGTGGTGTTTTATGATGTCTCGTCGTAGGATATCATGATTTCGTCTGGTCGTAGTTTAATGTTTTCGATACTTCAATGCTATCATATTACGAGCTGACAAAGGACGCAAAACAGTTATCATGGGCAGATCAGAATACATCGACAAAGCCAAACCCTCCTACAAGACACCACCAC